AATGAACATTAAGCAGTGGGGCAGAATTAATTCTGGTAAATACGTTCATTAAGACGGTTTCAGCCTGATTTGTGCGGCGCGCACCTGCTCATATAGCGACTGACTAAACTTTTCGCTCCTTGTGCTTAAATGTTCAAATACACAGTTATGTGTCAAAAATTCTCGTCTTTGCGAGTATCCTCGTAAACACAGTTATTTGTGTCTTAAATGAACGTTAATAGTTAAAGATAAAGCATGTGTAGTGTTAGGCTACATGCGATCCTGGATTATATGATGAGATCTTAAAAGGATAGTTCACCCAAAGATACTGTCATCATATACTTAAACTCAAATTGTTCTAAACCTCTATGAATTTCCTTTTCCTCCTCAACATAAAAGAAGATATTTTGAAGAATGATCATAACCAGTTTCTGGTCCCCATTGACTCCAATAGTATATTTTTTTCAGTACTATGAAAGTCATGGGGTGTCCAGCAACTGTCTGATTACCAGTATTGTTCCAAATCTATTATTTTGCATTCAACAGCAGAAGGAAACTCATACAGGTTTAGAACAACAACCAAATTTTCATTTTTGGGTGAACTATTCCTCTAAAGCAGCCCAATATAGCTGCTGTTGCCATTTGTGTCAATAATATAAATCAAACATCAGAAAGAAAATCACTTACTGTCCTTTACTGAATCACTTTTGTAAAATAAATAAGAATGAATCATGTATATTGAATATATACAGTGGAGACCATTCAGTCTGTTTGTACATTTTCTTTATACATCATAATATTATTCAGTGCTTTAAGTTTTTCAAGTAGGTCGATTTCTTATGATCTTTGTTCTGTTGTAGCCTAATTTGTGACTGTTTACTTGTCTTCAGTAAGCTTATTTTTACTTAGGCTCGTATTATTTTTGTGATCTTGAAATTGGTAACAAAAATTAGGAAATTTCAGTGCATCAAGAATGTTGATATGGGATAAAAATCCTATTTAAAGCTTTATATATATATATATATATATATATATGGTACAACTAGGTAAAAGGCGCCTTTGATATTATTTTCATCTAAACCACTAGATGGCACAAAAACGTGGCGTAGCACTTTCCAAAACATCCGTTTTATTGTGATGGGGGGCCCTGCAGTAAGTCATAGCCCCGGGGCCCAGTGCAGTCTTAATGAAGGCCCTGGGTACATGCCTAGTTTATAGTTTGCACATCAGACTGCCTGTATCGCCAGACTAATATATAGGAGGCCAGAGCAGCTGTCATTCATATTGCATTGTGCTGCACTGACTGGACTCTCTATCTTTGACCTGCAGTGGCTTTGCAGTTGCCCGAGGGTCTGCAGATGTTTGCCTGTGTGATCGCTGACATCATTGAGAGGTGGGTACCGCATACACTCATGCAGCGCTCCTCTGGACTGTGGATGCACATCCTTGGTTAAACAGGAAGAGCATTTGAGTCTGCAGAAGACCTCTGTGCTCATTAAAAAACTCTATGCTTATCATCATTCCCCGCCGTAGCGGTATCTGGGGCTCAGCAGAAAATTAGACACAATTGTAGACACAAGCTAGCTATCACGGTCTCGCTAGTTAATGACATGAAGTGGACAACCATTATTCTTCTCAATTACATCTTGTTACAGTCTGCGCAGAGCATGCAGCATACGAAAGTACAAATTGTGGTCCAGTGTGGGTAAAGAACGAGTCTGGCCACACCTCCCACTTCGACTGGGTTTAATGCTAATGCACACTAGTAGCTCTGCTTAATGATAAACAATGTGCTGTGACAACAAAAAAATGTTTGTGTTCACAGGGCATGTGGTGTCCACAAGTGTTAAAGAAAAGTATATCTTCAAAAATAAATTCTGTCATTATATAAACCTGTATGACTTTTTTTTCTGTTGAGTATATTGGTCCTTCTTTTCCATACAGTTACATTTAATAGAGTCTGAATCATTTGGACTGAGTCAGTGACTGTCACAAATTGATTCATAAACAAATAGGGGTTTTGTGAACCAGATCATTTGTTTTCTTGAAAATATTTGACAAACAAATATTTTGTTCATAAATTGGACATTTCTACATCTCTTAAGCAAAGTCAAGATTGATGTCAAGATTTTAAGTGAACATTGACATAGATTTGGTCTGTTTGTCACACAAAGCTACTTTAGAAGACGTAGAACATGAGTTGTAGTGGCCACTTTCATGATACTTATGGTCCTTTTTCATCCTTATTAAAGCCTGAAAAGAGTTTACATTCGTTGTAATTGCATGGAACCGAGTAAACAGACTTTTCTGTGCTAGAGAAAGAATGTCAGCATGAGGATGCGTAAATAATGACAGAAATTTGTGTTTTGGCTCAGCTGTTCCATTAAGAGCCTTGCCTCCTTTTATACTAAACATTACATTTCTCTTCCACCATCTCCTGGGATGAATGTTCCACCTGTTTCTTTAAAGTATGTTTCCACTTTCCTCCGAATAAGCAGAGTCCTATTCCGGATGTCTGCTCAATACTAATGAGGGACATTCTCAGCTGAGGTGAGATGGGCGAGCATTTCCATTGAGGGATATGTTTAGCCTCGGGAACCGCACTCAAAGTGTCACATTCCCAGAGGATTCATCTGTATTACGAAAACATTATGGGACTGTAATGTTCCTTCTCACTCAGGGCCGCCGGTTCGATTTGGAGGTGAGCATAGAGTCAGTGAGTTGAAGCGAACGGCTTTGGATGTTTTGATTGGGTCGTGTGAAAGTCTAGCTGTTGGATGACTCTCCTGGTTAACACAGATCCCTCCGTTTGATGTAGATCTGCTGTCAGCGCTTCTGCAATTACATCCTGTGTTCATCAACTTCCTGTTTCTCTAACCCATCTACTTTTTGCTCTTGTTCTAGTGACATGTCCAGTGTTGATCTCAATGAAAATAATCATTAACAAGGTTGTTTAGGGTTTCTGTCAAAGATAATGAAGACAAGATTAATTTTTAAATTAAAACATACTGTTAACAAAGAAAAAAAAAAAAAAACAAGACAAGGAAAAAAATAACACCGCAAGAATTTCTTTTAAATGTTGATGCACTACCAAAGTTTAGGGTTAATAAGTTTTTTTTTTTTATGTTTTTGATGTCTCTTATGCTCATGAAGGCTGCATTTATTTGCTCAAAATTACATTAAAAACAGGAATATTCTGAAAGATTATTGCAATTTGAAATAACTGTTTTCTATTTTAATACATATTAAAATGTAATTTATTCCTGTGATGGCAAAGCTTAATTTTCAGCAGCCATTACTCAGTCTTCAGTGTCACATGATCCTAGAAATCATTCTAATATGCTGATTTGCTGCTCAAGAAACATTTATTATTATTATTAATGCTGAAAGCAGTTGTGCTACTTAATGTTTTGTATTTTATTTATATTTTGTAACATTATAAATGTCTTTACTGTCTGTTTTGTTTAATGTAAAGTGTCCCTGCTAAATAAAAATTTATTGAGAAAAAAAAAAAAAAAAGTCTTACGGACCCCAAACTATTTAATGCTAATTTACATTTAAACATTGTAAACATTGTAAAAAATGTACATTTAAAATAAATTTATGGATATACATATATTTGAAGTATTAGATACCATTTTGTTGTATGAAATTTAAAGTAAAATGGACTAAAATGAATAAATATGACATGATAACATATTGACTACATTTAAAAGACATTTTCATTTAAAAAAAAAAACACTGATGAAAAAAATGGACACTGGCCATATCTCTTTTTTTCTGTTCATCTTTCCACCTTTTCTATTTTGTATATTCTTCTACCTATTGTATTTACATGGTACTCCAACATATGCCAATCAGAAAGTCTAGCTGTTGGATGACTCTCCTGGTTAACACAGATCCCTCCGTTTGATGTAGATCTGCTGTCAGCGCTTCTGCAATTACATCCTGTGTTCATCAACTTCCTGTTTCTCTAACCCATCTACTTTTTGCTCTTGTTCTAGTGACATGTCCAGTGTTGATCTCAATGAAAATGATCATTAACAAGGTTGTTTAGGGTTTCTGTCAAAGATAATGAAGACAAGATTAATTTTTAAATTAAAACATACTGTTAACAAAGAAAAAAAAAAAAAAACAAGACAAGGAAAAAAATAACACCGCAAGAATTTCTTTTAAATGTTGATGCACTACCAAAGTTTAGGGTTAATAAGTTTTTTTTTTTTATGTTTTTGATGTCTCTTATGCTCATGAAGGCTGCATTTATTTGCTCAAAATTACATTAAAAACAGGAATATTCTGAAAGATTATTGCAATTTGAAATAACTGTTTTCTATTTTAATACATATTAAAATGTAATTTATTCCTGTGATGGCAAAGCTTAATTTTCAGCAGCCATTACTCAGTCTTCAGTGTCACATGATCCTAGAAATCATTCTAATATGCTGATTTGCTGCTCAAGAAACATTTATTATTATTATTAATGCTGAAAGCAGTTGTGCTACTTAATGTTTTGTATTTTATTTATATTTTGTAACATTATAAATGTCTTTACTGTCTGTTTTGTTTAATGTAAAGTGTCCCTGCTAAATAAAAATTTATTGAGAAAAAAAAAAAAAAAAGTCTTACGGACCCCAAACTATTTAATGCTAATTTACATTTAAACATTGTAAACATTGTAAAAAATGTACATTTAAAATAAATTTATGGATATACATATATTTGAAGTATTAGATACCATTTTGTTGTATGAAATTTAAAGTAAAATGGACTAAAATGAATAAATATGACATGATAACATATTGACTACATTTAAAAGACATTTTCATTTAAAAAAAAAACACTGATGAAAAAAATGGACACTGGCCATATCTCTTTTTTTCTGTTCATCTTTCCACCTTTTCTATTTTGTATATTCTTCTACCTATTGTATTTACATGGTACTCCAACATATGCCAATCATTACCATGGTATTACCATCAATATGTTTTCCAATAAACCATAGCACAATATCATGGTGCAAGGGTTTTGACCCCTCTCTTGCGGTCTCTATGTCCACTTAAGTGTGTGAGAAGTGCTTTGAGTGTGTGTCTGTCGTGTAATGTGTACCCTACCCTCCTTATCAGACGGCCATAGTGCTCTCAGCTAAAGAGCTGCCTCTTTCTCATCATAGCAGGGCTTAGCATCACAAATGTCCAGACACTCGGAAACCCAATGAAACCAGTCGGTGTTTAATGAGAGCAATTAATGTCCGTTAATTAACTTTGCGAAAGCCCCCGTCTCCTCCTGACATCAGCCACAGCTTTCCATCCCTCTTCTGCATGTTCTCCCCCTCGTTCCCTCAGCCACATCTTTGGATTGCTGCCAGCAGGATTTCTTCGATCTGCAGTTTCTCTGAGGGCCTTTAGCTTGGCTTGCATAGGACATTTATTCCTCGTTGCTGTTTAGGGCTCCAGCTGTTTAGTCATAAAGCAGTTGCTGGAAAAAAAAATGCTCTTCATTAGATTGTGGTGCTGTTCTGCATGTTGCTGAATGATGTGATGAAACCCACAGATCACACAAACCCTGTTTACATCTGGTGTTATAATCAGTCTCAGGTGATCTGATCACAAGTGGCTGGCTGAAACACAATTGCTGTTTACACCTTGTAGTAACATGCGTTGTGGCATTTGAAACTTTATTGTAGTTTTTAGTGTTTTATTTTGAATTTCTTTAGATAAAACAGTACAGAATTTTTATATATTTTTGAATATAAAAATATATTTTAAATAATTTTTTGTTTTTAAAAGTCACCAAGGCTGCATTTATTTAATCAAAAATACAGTAAAACAGTAATATTGTGAAACATTATTATAATTTAAAACAACAGTTTTCTATTTTCAGCAGTCATTACTCCAGTCTTCAGTGTCACATGATCCTCCAGCAATTATTCACATATTCAGATTTGGTGCTCAAGGAACATTTTTTATTATCAGTTCTTTCTTAATGCTGCTTCATAACTTTGTGATTTTGTGTAAACCATAATATATTTTTTCTGGCTTCTCTTGTGATACAAATTTTTTTTTTCTTTTGGTAGCAGTGTAAAAATCATTTGATGTTTTTTTTTTATGCATTCTTGCTGAATAAGGTAAACAGTGCCAGATGTTTTATGTGTATGTTGTGACCCCAGATTATAGTTTGTTCAGGGTCATGCTGGTCTGACGCAGGGCCACGGGAAAGGATTAGTTGTTACATGACACTGCTGACAGCTATAGGCACAACTCCCAAATTTGAGATAAAACATCAGACAGAGACTAGAATGGATCAGAAACAATGTTGTGTACTGGAATCTTCATGGGACTGAGAAGAACACTGGAGATTGGAGACTGCACAGGATGTGACTGTTGTGATCAATGA